AAACATCATCTTAAAGTGTGGAGGGGTGGTGCTATGCGGATCAAGCAGAAGACAAGGTTCCCCTGTCAGCAGAGCCCGGGCATCACACTCACTACTCTACGGGGATGCCTTGAAGGAGCATTATGCTAAATCCTTGCCTCCCCACTCTCCCACCCACCCAGCACTGGCCGTGTGGGTGTGCTGGATAAAACTGTCATGAAAACGCCAACCCGGGGTCATTTGTTTAATTTCAATTCTGCAGAAGTAAAAATAGAATGAGCTCAGGCTTTGACAGCCTGTCAAGTGGGCACAGAGACCAGGCAGCTGGCCAGCTGCCTCCCTCTGCCGAAGGGTCTCCCTCAGAGCCAGGAAGGTCCCTGCTTTGCTGAGCCTCCGGCTCTTAGTCCTCCTTTCCCCCTCCCCGACCCTGACTCCCCCCCCCGCCACACACATACACACACACACACACACACACACACACACACACAAACACACACTGCTTCTTCAAACTCCCAGGATTTCCCCTCTCCTCCTCTGCCCTCTCCTTCATCCCCAGGGTTCTCTCCCTGTCTCTTTTCCAAAGACTGGCTCCTTCAAGGGAGCCTCACCAGGCAGCCCCCTCTGGGCACTCTTCTGTCCTGGCTCTCTGGACTCCCAAAGTTTGGAGGAGATACTCTACCACCGCACCCCTGTCTCTGTTCCGCCTCTTGCCTCTTTCCGACTCTCCTCTAGCCAAAGGGGCCTATTGTTCACCTCGGTCAGCAGCACCGATGGGTGAACAGTCTGAGTGAAACTCCGTCTGTGTTTCGACCCAGGCTGAGTCTGTGTTTTGGACAAATTGATTCTTGAATTTCACAAAGTTTATTATTTTCTTTGAAATGTTCCGGGTCAGAGGGATAGCACAGCAGGAAGGGTGCTTGCCATGCGTGTGGCCAACCCAGGTTTGATTCCTGGCACCCCACTGGTTCCCCAAAGCCCTGCCAGGAGTAAGCCCTGAGCACCTCTGGGTGTGGCCCCAAAACAAATAACATCCAAAAAAATTTAAAAAAGGTTCAGCTTGCCTTCTCCGGTTCTGATCCTTGAGGTTCAAAGCTACCCTGCATCGACTTCCTAACAATTCTGGCTTACAAAGAGAAGCTTCTTGGCCTGAGTGATAGTACAGCAGGTGGTGTGTTTGCCTCGCATGGGGCCAACCCGGGTTCAATCCCTGGCTTCCCATTTGGTCCCCCAAGCTCATCAGGAGTGATCTCTGAGCACAGAGCCAGGAGTAAGTCCTGAGCACTGCCAGGCGAGGCTGCAGGCAGGCAGGCAGGCAGGCAGGCAGGCAGGCAGGAAGGAAGGAAGGAAGGAAGGAAGGAAGGAAGGAAGATCTTTTTGTTCAGGTCCCTGGATCTACATCAAAAGTCAAAGTGGGCCAGGGGTGGGGGGATGGCTGTGCGCCTTCCCTGTGAGAGTCTCAGAAAGGTTCTGCAGTTTGACCCTGTTTCACCCCTAGCTCTCATGATGTCTCGAGGCCCTAACAAAGCCGATGGACCCAGTGAGCTGAGCTCAGTCCCTGAGCTGCTCAACCCCCAATGGGCTCCTTTTCTGTGTGAGCCACGGGTGTGAGCGAATGCCCTTCCTGTGGGTGGCCACTAATTTTCTCTGAGGAGAGAACTTTGTACTGAGGAACACCAAAGAGAGAAGACAGTCAGCAGATCACTGACTTAGACACATCTGTGAGAAGAACTTTCATTATCTCCCTTGCTATCTTACTCAGCTATACTTTAGTCCAAGTGAGTCCCTATCTTTGTTTACACACACACACACACACACTGTGCAAATAGGGCTTCCAGACATTAAGAGAACTTCCCTCAAATGCGGGCAGATGCTACTCAGGACCCCATCCCCCCACACAGTGCTCTCTGTGTGGCTGTGACACTATTCCCTTCACCTCCAAGTCCTATTGGAGATGTCCACTCCTCACACAGATGTGGGAGCTGGACCTGTGGCCTCAGATGCTGGACCTTGTAGTCACCCAAATCAAAGGTGCCTGGAAGGCTAGTGGTGACCAGGCGCAGGCAGGTTTTCTGTTTGTGCATGTCAAGGAGTTGGACCCCATCATGGAAGCTGTGTAGCTTCTGAAGAAAAGGATCATGTCCCGGCAGTGAAGGAAACATGGCTTCTGTGGTAGCAAGCCACAGGTGCCACCGTGGGGGAAAGAGAGGACGGAAGGAAACATCTTGGATGCACTGGAAAGAGCCACGGAAATCGGCACCAAGCAGAGATGGCAGCAGGTCCCAAGAAACAGCAAGCCGCTGGAGACAAGCAGAATGGGCCGCTCTGAGCGACGGGATGGAAACATCAGCCCCCATCCACGGCCGCTGGGAACAACGCGCTACCTGTGGCAAAGCAGCAGTCACAAGAGCCCAGGGGCTGTCAGCGACAAGTGCAGGTACCACAGATGTGCTGTGATGGGGCATCCTCATGGGACTGCCAACAGGGACCAGACCCAGTGACTTTCCTGGTCCAAAAGCAGAGGTTGGCAGAAGGTGGTGGCAAGAATCATAGAGCTAACACGATTTCCTTACAACGGTGCAGTTGCACCCAAGACCCACACTCCGTGAACACCGGGGAGCAAGAAAATAGCTAAGGCATTCACGTGTGTTGGCAATGTTAAATGGGAGCACTCGGTCTGACAAGGCATCATTCACTCATCACTCTCCAACGCTGACAGCTAAAGGCTAGCCTCGAATCCCCAAATCCGAACAGCCCTGACTGTGGGCAAGAGGGAGACAGAACATCCGTGGCCCCTTTGGAGATCCGGGTCTCGAGACTCCCAGAGCTCATGGCCCAGATTTCAGACAGGATCCTCTCAGCAAACCAGGAAGCAATGAGCCAGGGGGAAGGAGCTCTAGCCAACACCAGTGACCACCCAAGTACAGCGTCAGAGGCTGCTGGTGAGCTGTGTAGCTGAGGAGGTGGTGCAGATAAGGACTCTGGGGATGGCAAACCCCAAGAACCTCCAAGGAAGGAAAAAGGTGGAGGCCCTGAGAGAGAACTTGCAGGACACGTCTCCCAGAACACAAGACCGATGACCCACACAGGAGGCCCGTGTCCACTGCTTTCCCTAGAACCATCAAATGCTGTTAATGAGAAAAAGAGAGAAGTGGAGGCTACGGATCCCACCCGAGTGAGCCTCCGTGAGTGCTCCCTAGGGAGTCTCAGACCACGTGGGGTGAGAGACAGGAATGGAGCATTTCCAACTTTTTTTTTTGCTTTTTTTGGGTCACACCTGGCGATGCACAGGGGTTACTCCTGGCTCTGCACTTGGGATTTACCGCTGGCAGTGCTTGGGGACACCAGGGATTGAACTCAGGTCAGCCGCGTGCAAGGCAAACGCCCTACCCACTGTACTATCGCTCCAGCCCCCGACTTATTTCTGATATGAATTTCCTGAGCTCAAAATGAGAGCCCCAGCTGAGACCTGTCCCAAGGGGAGGCTTCTCCACCACAAAACTGTTGTAGCTCCGAAAGGTTCTGTGCCCAGTGAAAAAGCTGCCAAGGAGCTCCGGCCCTTGTCCACGTTTCTGTCTTCCTGACAAAGTGGTGCGAGTTTCGCATCCACTACAGTCATGAAAACCTTTGTTTCCCCCCAAGCATCTCTGGGGTGGGGGGGTTGGTGGGAGGAGGTCGGGCTACACCTGGCAGTGCTCAGGGTTGTTCTTGGCTGTGTTAAAAGGGACTCCTGGCAGTACTCGGGGGAATGAGGTGGTACCAGGGATTCAAACCAGGACAACAGTCGAAGCTTGGGCATGAAAGGCAAGTGCCTACCTCCTGTACTATCTCTCTGGCCCTCTGTAAAAGATGCCCTCGCCTAAGACAGTGCAGCTTCACACAACCAGTATAGTCCTCGCACCCTGATCTCGGGTTCTGGCTGTGAGAGGGAAACACCCTTCACAACTGCTCCCGTCTGCCCCCAGAACTCAGCCTGACAACTTCAGGGCATGCTAGCAAACATTTACTCAGTTGTTTTGTTTTGTTTTTTAGTTGGTTGGTTGGTTGGTTTAGGGGCCACACCTGCCAGTGCCCCAGGCTTACTCCTGACTCCGAGCTCAGGGCTCACTCCTGGCAGGGTTTGGGGAACCATCTATGGTGGTGGGGATAAAATCCAGGCTGGCCATCCACAAGTAAAGCACCCTCCCCACTGGACAGTCACTCCGGCCCAGCTGATGCTTACTCTGCGCTAGCTTTGGAGGCACCCTGCTGAGAACTTTCCAGGAGTGAGGTTTCTCCAAGCTGATGCGTATAGAAGCTGGCTTCCCACAAGTTCATTCAAAGGGCCGTGCCCCTTGCCTCCTTTTAGGAGTAACTGTTTCCTCTGGAATGGGTCTCCAGCACCCCAACAACGCGGGCTGGGGAACACTGAAATCCCTAGTCCTTCTCTACGTAAACCCAAGGAGGGCACCGGGAAGAGAAGAGCCTCCTGCTAATTTGGAACCTTAGGATAAACCCCGTTATTTCTACCTTGTCTTGGTTCTGATCTTTTTAGATATCAGCCCTGAAGGAAAAAAAAAAAACAGGGACAGGGACAAGGCTGATGGGGCAGCCAGGTGTGTTGGAGAAGCAGAGCCAAGAACAAGAAAGCCAGGGCCCCGGGTCCAAGGTGTGCCAGAAATATGGCAGAGCCCCTAGCTCTGGCCTCACCGCCTGCTGGGGCAACATCTCCAGAACTGAGTGGAGAAAGAAGCCGCCGGGCCGTTCCTGGGAACCTACCCCAGGGGGTTCCTGGACACCTCAGGTGGAGGCCATGACGGCCAGGCTACATCCATGTTAATAGCTTTAAGGTCCTGTGAGGTGGCACTAGGAAAATTCGGACAGAACAGACAGCAACACCCTCCCCACGCGCCCCCCACCAGCCCCGCCACCCCCAGCGCCTTCCTGCACATTTCCAGTCTTGCGTTTCACCCGGGAACCCTCCTCATCAGCCCAGCACCCACGTGTGTTCTTCCCGGGGTGCAGGAAGGTGAAGAAGTTCTTACCTGGATGTGCTGGGAGCGGCGCTCATGTGGACGCAGGATGCCTGGTACCAGTCCTGGGCGTGCGCGGGGGGTCGGCGGCGCGTCCGGGGTGCACCGAGGCTGCGGGACAAGCGCTCAGCACATCTCCCGGGAAGCCCGGTTTTGCCAGGAGCAGAGCTAGTCCCTTTCGGGGGAGGGAGGAGGAGCCTGACGACAGCGACCCGAGCGGGGCTGGAGCCAGCTGGCGCCGCGGAGGGGCGCGGGGCACCTGGACGCCCGGACGGGCCGGCTGTGCCCTGCGCGGCGGGAGCGGCGGGGGCGGGAGGAAGCGGAACTCCCCCTCTCCGTGCGCTCCCGGCTCCCCGCTGGTCTCTGCGGCTCCTTACCGCATCGCCTTCCCGCTTTCTAAATATACACTCGTCCCCTCCCTGTGCTCTGCGCGCCTCTCCTGCTGTCCCTGCCTACCTCGGTGCTGGCCGCTGCTGGCCGCCCGGGCGCTGTGCCTCGCTCCCCGCGCGCGCGTCCCCCTCTCTCCCCCCACCGGCTCTCCTCCCCTCCCCCCTGGGCTCGGGGTGATGCTGCCTGGATTCTCCTGGAGGGACCTGGCGCCAACCTAGAGCACTGCAGTGTAACTCAGACACAGACACACACACACACACACACACACACACACACACACACACACACACACTCGCAGGCCCCTTCGACCCAAGCGCTCCTGGAAAAATCAGACCATCAGGTTTCGTGCAGGGGAAAACAACAGCCGCCCAAGCCTTCTGCTTGCGATACTAATGCCCATCTGGAAACCAGATTATCGTGTTGCAAGCAAAAGTGGGAAAGAGGTTCAGGGAAGGCGAGCGGCCACTGATTGCCAGCAAGTCCACAGGTGGCCTGCGGAGGCAGGGGAGGGTGCAATCCAAACCGGGAGTGTCAAAATCCTAGCACCTTAAGTCAAGCAGGGCAGAGCTGCCCAGGGCTCCTGCTGCAAATGAGAAGACAAGTTCAGAGAGGGTCCCAGATGTGCCCAGGGTGACACAGCCAGGAGGCGCTGTCAGGCATCCCCTTCCCTCCATCCCTCTCACTCCCAGCAACCATGTCTCAGGGCTGTCCCCTGAGCCCCGTGAGCTCTGACTCCCACCAAACCGCCAGGAAGTCTCCCTCCTTCCAAGCAGGCTGGGGACAAATGACAAACCCCAGAGGGGCAGCAGCGCGGAAAGGAAGGTGAAACCCCCCCGCCCCCCCCCTCGCACAGAAGCCCTCCCCCCTGCTCTCTTCTGGAGATTCAGCCAGCTTGACGAAGGCCCATTTCCCATTTCTTTTCCGCCCTCCCCTCCAATCTTCCTCCTTCCCATGTGCTTGGACACCTCTACTTCCACAGTCCCCACAGTCTGATCACAGGAGAATGATCCCTGGAACCCTCAGTTAGCACAGCTGGGTCCTGCGTCTGCTCCCTAGCCAGGTGGGGCTTTCCCCAGCGGTGTTTCCTGCTCCGAGATATTGCATCTGGCCCTCCAGACCCTTCACACCCCCAGCCACCGGTGCCCTTAAGAACTGCGTCTAGATGGAGGAATATGGTGTCACCAACAACTCTTCCCTTTGGAGAATATGCCAGTATTTCGTTGGCACCCATGTGCTCTCTTGGGCGGCAGGAGGGGGGGAAGGGTAGGATACTGATTCCAAAACTGAGTGCCCTGAAGTAACTCAGGGATGAAGAGCCTCTGGAGTTCTACTAGTAATTATTAAGAAGAGTTTTCCAATGTGGACACTGAGAAGCAGATGAGAAGAAGTCTGAACTCTGGTGAAGGTGTCCCCCACCCGACTCTTGACAGGCTGTGCAACCGGGGCAAGTTGTTTAACCTCTACCTCTACTTTTCTCTGAAAGGGGGAGAAAGCAACTGGCAGTGCCGGCAAGTCAATGGGAAGTCAGTGGGACTACCCAACACTCAACTCTTCTGTCATTGATGTGGCCAGAGTCATTGTGAGGGCCAGGGAAGCTCTCAGAGCTTTCATGCAGTTACCATGCTAGCTCTGAGCATGCTAGCACCCCTTCTCTCCCCATTCAGACTATCTTAATCTCTAAAAGGGATTAGAGAACTGTTGGAGGAGACATAAAAACTCACAGAACTACTGGAGGAGACATAAAATCAGGCTCGTGCAGCATCCAGCATAGTGCCTGCAACAGAAGAAGCACCACAGCATCTTAGCCTCAGCCTCTCCAGATTTATTTTCCTGAGCAAGATACTTTGACTTTTCACAGCCTCCTGGGGTTGCAAAGATCAACATAACACCTGTAAATTATCTGGCACATGGTAAGTGATAAATGTATGCTAATTACCTGTCTTTCTTCCCAAAGTTTATTTTTACCTGGAAGTATCGCCACCGCATCCCAATGACTCACAGTCTCATTCATCCTCTACTTGGGTCCTATTCTAGCACTGTCTCATTTAAATGCATTTACATCTTTTCCACATTCATTCAGCAAAAATTTACAGCTACATACTATGCGCTTCCAGGCACTGAGCTCGACTTGGGCGTGCATGTACTTGTTTAAGTGAATTTAAATCCCCAGAAGCTAGAAATGGGTTTTCCCGTGTGCTTTGATTTTTCACTACCTCCTGCAGAGCTAGCCATAATCATAGGTTCACTGGTAGGAGGGACACCTAGAGATTATAGCGGTCAACATTCTCATTTTATAGCTGAGAAAGAATCACTGACTTTCACACACTGAGAGGGAAAAAAAAAGAAAGAAAGAAAAAGAAAAAGGGAAAATGGTGCGGGTCTCTTGCCTACTCATCTAGTATTCTTTGAATTATGCAAAATTTTCTCACCATCTGCTTCATGGAAAAACCAGTTCCTTAGAATGTTAATAGTTGACAATTGACAATTCAACAAAGGATTCTGTGGCTAAGCTTGTTTGAGAAATTATGGGTTAAGCAAAATAAAACCATGGTTCATTTTTTTTTTTTGTATGGTCAGCTTTGGCTTTTTTTCACAGTAAGACTTTTCACAGCCTATAAGATGTGTGTTGTGCGTCTCAAAGAAAGGTTCTAATCCACCTTATTAAATGTGACACTGTAGCACTGTCCGTAGCTCTGTCCTCCCATTGTTCATCGATTTGCTCAAGCGGGCACCAGTAACGTCTCCACGGTGAGATTTGTTGTTACTGTTTTGGGCATATCGAATACACCACGGGGAGCTTGCCGGGCTCTGTCATCAGGTGGGATACTCTCGGTAGCTTGCTAGGCTCTCTGAGAGGGACAAGAGAATTGAACTCAGGTCAGCCACGTGCAAGGCAACGCCCTACCCGCTGTGCTATCATTCCAACCCATTAAATGTGGCTGCTGAGGAAAGTCATCCTCTGAGATGGAGGGGCATTGGTGACCCATTCTGTGCCCACTGATTTCGGGTACATGATGCAGCACCCTTGAACTGGAACTAGCCAAGGTGATGACTGACTGTGTGACCTCCAAAGAGAGGCACAGGGCGAATTCCTCCAAGACACCTGCAGCCCTCCTAGGACAGGAACCCGTTGGGTCAATGCCATCCTCAGAAGAAAGGAAATGTCGCCCTGGGTTGCCACTTCTCTAGATGCCTGATTGGCAGAGGGGGACAGAAGAACAGCAGCTCATCCTGACTCCCCTGCTGGACAGATTCAGGAGAGCTGTGGGGGTCCAGTTCCTGCGTCTCAGCTTTGACTCAGGGGAAATTTCCAGATTTCTAGCTGCTGGCACAGGCTTTGGACAGAGAGTTAGTTCAGAGGATGAGGCACTTGCCTTGTATGTGGTCAACCCTTGTATGTGATTTGATCCCCAGCATCACCTGAGTCCTTGAGCACCACTAAGAATGTCCTTCCCATGCTTTAAAAAAAAAAAACAGGTCTTATAGACTGATCCCATCGTTTTTAATCCTTAGCTGTTGAGTATTGGCGAGCTGTTTACCCTCTTAAACTTTCTTTCATATTAAGACAAACATTATCCATTACCACTCTGGATTTTTTTTAATGCGCCTTTCAGGCCTGGAGGGATAGTGCAGTGAGTAGGGCACTTGCCTTGCATGTGGCTGACCTAGTTTGATACCCCAGCATCTCTAATGGTTTCCTGGAGGCATCAGGAGTGATCCTGAGTACAGAGCCAGGAGTGAGCCCTGCGCACAAGTGTCTGTGGGCTCCCCCTCCCCCCCAAGAACTAAATAACGACAGGTGCCTGGGAATTTCTGGTGCATTACCTGATATGGCGTAAGTCCCCTGCCAGATTCAGCGAGTCTTACTAAAAGGGACAATACTGGTGACAATACTTAGAGTCAGCATATAACTTAGTGCTTTAGCAGAGTTTTGCTGATCCAGAAGTACAATTCTTCTCCTTTCCTCTCTCTCCACGAAGAGTGACATCCCCCCCCAGCCAAGGCCCCAATGCCACAGAGCCAGGAGGCAATGCTAGTAGATACTCTTTAAGCAAACTCAGAAGTGAGCAAAAAAAAGGTAATTAAGCTTTAACGTCCCTTTAATTGAACAGCTGCTAAATACCGAGCACTGTGATTTAGATTTGTATTTATGTCCCTCATCTCTCTGGATCTCATTCTGTCTGTACTCCTCACAACCACCAGAAGTGGGAAGCAGCCGCCTCCCCGTTCGGAAAATAAAAATGCTAATGTTCAGAAAATTTATGGGGCAAGAGGGCAGAAATGACCAAACACTAGCATCCCAGAAGCCATTTCCATAACGGGAGAGCGTGGGCTTCCCCATGTGCGAGAAGACGATTCCTGGGCTATGGCTGGGGTGACAAATCGTTCCTGGGAGGAGCCACTATGGAACGGATGCTAAAGTAATGCCCAATTAAGTGAGAAACAGAGCCAATAAAATTCTTTCCTCGGTGGTCTCCCCCAAGGGCCCACTCATTGGTCTCTGCCTGTCTGGAACACGTGAACTCCCAGCAATCCGCAGAGAGCAATATGGCAGCTGAACAGAGCCCTGGAGAAACACTTGTCTTCCCTCTGCTCGTAGGAACACGGCAAGAGAAACCAGGACAGGGAGTCAGCACTGCCCCTCAGTCTCGTCTAACTAACTTTCTGTTTCTTTCACGTGGACGCTCAGTGCCCCTTGGCCTGGCCGGGAAGGTGACTCCTTCCAGACTCATTTGCTAGCACTCATATCCCTCAGCCAGCCTGGCCGAGCCGGGTTCGATTCCTCTGCCCCTCTCAGAGAGCCCGGCAAGCTACTGAGAGTATCTTGCCCGCATGGCAAAGCCTGGCAAGCTCCCCGTGACGTATTTGATATGCCAAACACAGTAACAAGTCTCAAAATGGAGACGTTACTGGGCCTGCTCGAGCAAATCGATGGACAACAGGAGAACAGTGTTTGTTATATACCCCTCAGTCAAGTCTGTTCTGTGGGGTCAGGTAAAGGCCCTTCGGTGGCAGTGTCAGGAGGAGGAAATTACTGACCTAAACGGCCTCCAGA